ATATATATATATATATATATGTATATGTATATGTATATGTATATGTATATATGCGTGTATGTGTGCATGTATATGTAGTGAGATATGAGATAGTGACGAAGCGGAGTTCAATTGTTTTCAATTGTTTAACCATGGCATGCCTGTATGAATAAATGTCAAATTAACTGTGTTATGGGATTTCTTTCTAAACATACAGTTAACATAATTTTTTTTCAGTCAATGAACTGGGTTCTGGGCAGTTTGGTGTCGTTTGGTTGGCAGAAGCAGTTGGTATATCTGCATTTCACCCAAGAGAGATGTTGAAAAAACGTGAAGGTGGCGGACAGTTTTCCTTCTTTTGGCATAAGGCGAAAAAAACCAGATTACTACATAGTAGACAAGTAACAAACGTTGCTGTCAAAAGTATTAAAGGTTTGACTTTTATTGCCACAATATTTTTGATAACTTAAATAGTTGTGATAGATGAAGTAGGCGGGTATCAGCTTTTTATTATAATATTAATGCCCAAAATACTTTTTTATAACTTAGTTTGAATTAAAAATTCTGAAGTTATACATGTCAACTCCAAAACCATTTAACGGAGTGGAGCTATATGTAGCTATTATCTATAACCTTTGGGTAAATTGCTATCATTAACAAACATAATCTAAACTATGGCTATATATTTGAACTACATAAGCAAGCTATTTGAGCATGATCTACACGAGTAGTAAACTTGCTTATACCAGTTAGAGTTTGATTTCAGGATCCATTCTTGCCCCCAGGCCAGTAGTATAGTTTTGGGTGGCTCTCTAAAAGGGGCCAGGGAAATGACACTTATTAAGAGATTACAAGAGATATAGGGCCTATTTCCCTGGGTTTTCAGGTAGCCACGCCACCTCTAATACGTTTGCTTAGGCCTGGTTTACACTAAGAATTTTGTCGGCGATTTTTTCGTCCTGTGCTAGCGGATATGCATGACTGAATAAGTGACATGCAAAAGATCAGAGGTGGGAATAAAATATTTCACTTTCTGGGACCGCATGCAAGAGATCATTGAAAAATTTTCTGCTAATAATCAAGTAAATCGACACTCGAACGCTGTAACTGTGTAACACTACCAAGTTGTCTTAATGTCATGCTTTTAAGGTATATAACATAAAACTTATAAGGGGAGTCGCTTGGTGATCCCTAGACCCCATGTGAAATATAAAACACACAGGCATATCTATAATTACGAATAACCTGCTTCTGTTTTTAGAAAACGCAGATCGCAAAAGTCTGGTTGATTTGCAGTCAGAACTAAAGATTTTAATTCATGTCGGTGAAAATGAGAACATAGTGAACATACTAGGTGCTTGCACAAAAGGTTAGCAACACTATGGTTTTCTAATACGTATCGTGATCCTAAGGTAAATTTACAGATGCCAAAAAATGGGTATATTACTAGGGGGCACTACTAGGGCGATCTGGGGGCATAGTGCCCCAGAAAATTTTGAAAATCAGGTGTATCAGATTGGCTAAAAATGTATTTGCCATACAACATTTGTTATATCATTCTGTAGTTTATACAGTTATTCACTTTTGCACTATTAAGATGGATGTGGTTCTAATTGCATTTCTGAGATCATACATACAGTACAGGTGCATTCTTTTTATTGGGTATGGAATTTTCCTCTGAATTTCTTCCTTTGTCTAAAATTCTACAATTATCTTTTTTTCTTTGTTGGAAATATTTTCTGGGAACTAAAAAATTTTCTGGCACCAATGGTCCCATGGTCCGATACTTTTTCCACCCCTGCCAAGGAAATGTATATGTGGGAAAGCGATTCTGTATTTTTGTGTACCAATGCATGCATATACATTCGCGTCCGTTACAAGTGTTTTCAAAATTACTAGTGTGAGCCTGCAGACTTTATACTGTCTAGTACCCATGCAGTGCATGCAATAGTTAAAATAACATTAAGCCGGTTAGAGCTACGATCATGCACTTTTTCTTAAATCTATGACATGTGGCAAGTTCTATTTGTCAATTGCCCGTATAGGTATATATATATATATATATATATATATATATAACAAATTTTCTGACAAGTTTTTGGTTTTCAGACCGCCACGATAGCTATTGGGGAGCTTTAGCAACGACTATACGAGTACGACTACGAGATTTGCTCGCGTGCGAGGAAATCATCGTAGTCGTTCTCGTTTCCGTTCAAGTTCATATAAACTAAATCTCCTGCACTATACTGCAGGCCAAAATCCATTACAAAATGTGCAAATAAGTCATATAACATTAAAAACAAGCCAGATATTTAATACTAATAGATTATTTGCGCCGGATAAACGCTACAAATTATTTTTGAAAAACAAAAACAGCCAACTTTCTTTGTGTTTTTGAAAAGTCGTATAGTGAGGACTACGAGATTTCTCTACAATTTCGTACTCAGATGGGCGACGGCTACGACTTTTTCGCGTCAGTACGGGATGCATGGTGTAAGCATACAGTATGCGTTTCGCTTGACAAATCTCCTACTCGTACTCGATGCTTAAAGCTCCCTATTACTACAGCTACTACAGCTATCCAACAATATAGGAATATATCGCTGCTGACCAACCACATGTGCTGAAATTGACTCACTCATACAGACGAACAAAATTTATGCTAGCTTTTGAACAAGTGTGTTTGTTATAGAAAGCTTGGCAAAGTTGCCTAAACAGACGGGAAATAAATTTTGTCATATGAAAACTTGTCACATGCAGAAGACTTTCTCGTCTGTAACTGTGAGAAATAGTTAATATTTATATATTTTATGACATCGTTACATGTTTGCACCGAAAGTGCAAATGTTTGATTGACAGTTTCATATTCAAAATATAGCTAGTTGCGAGAACATTGTAGTATAATAACTAGGGATCCAAGGATAGCGTGAAGTTTCGAATTGAAAAAGACACTGCCAGAACTATATATGGTCGCCGACAACCTAGAAAAGCTGATGGCTTACACTACGAAATAAACAGTTACCAAAGGCATTTCATCTCATTTATTGCTTTTAATACGCTCGGCACACGAGTAGCGTGACGTTTGAAACAAGCCTAACACACCAGAAACGTGACTTGTGAAACTGATGCAATTTGTCTATTTATTGTGATGCTACACGATGCTACACGAGACAATTCAAAATTTAAATGGTTTCACCAACAACCAAATTTTGCATATTCTAAATTTTTATTTGCATTTGCAGCTGTCGCTAAAAGCTCCCCACGAGGCTACTGCTATGCTAAATTTATCTAAAATTATAATTGAAATAGCTGTGTAAGATATGTTATGAATAATAAGCACTACGTCGTTACATCATTAAAAGGACGCATTTTATCCTCATCCGTTCCGTATTTTATCCGCATATCCGTTCCGTGGATCCGGTCCATCCGCTTCCGCATTTTAACCTAATTGTGACATGCTTCACAATAACAACTAGTCTCATTGACCTTTGACTTTTCCCAGTGTCACGTTTATTTTCAGCTGAATAATATCACTTTAGATTTCAATAGTTTCACAGTTAAGCAATGTTTAAAGCAGTTTTGACAAGCTTTGAACAGTTCTGTGTACAGAATACTACAGATTGATTCTCGTAAGATCTGGTAGAGTTATCGTTGCACTGAACAAGAATTTGCACCGTTGACAACGGCGTTGTGCTAGACAGTAAACAAAGACAAGGCCCGTGACGGTACACGTTGGCTACATGTACCTCGTTGCTTTTTTTTTCTATTGCATAAAGCTTGTTGGCGAGCCAAGCGATTGGCGATAACACGTTGGCGATAACGCATTGGATATCTCCTCGTCTTTCTTATTTAAATAAGGAGCTCTGACTCAACTGATTTCTTTAGTCTCGCAAGTTATTTTCTTCGTAAACGCCGTACAAACGCTTACTCGCTTCTGTTTAATAGTTGTTTGGCTCTTTGTACAGTGAGCGTAGCCATCTATTTTGTGATGTAGCACCTTATACAGTCAATGACAATGTATAATGAATACACGGTCTAAATAATATCGATGGGCACTTAATTGAATACCGGTAATGCACAACATAATAGTATTATTGCGTAGAATCTCAAAGGACAAAGATTTTCTCAATATTCATGTCTGAAATGTTCATATTACTTGAAAACAACACTGTCTCGCTTCTGCCTACGTATACTGTACCCCTGTATAACGAGTATGCCGTGAAAATAATATTGGCACTCAATTGAATGCCTACAATCTCAAAGATTTTCTCAATATTTACGTCTGAAATGTTTATACATTTGAAAACAACACTGTCGCTCCTTCCTAGCTCTGTATATTAATGAATATACCGTTCCACATATATCAGTACTTGATTGAAAGACCGTCATGCATAACATAAATTTATATATTGCGTAGATTCTCAAAGATTTACTCAATATTCACGTCTGAAATGTTTAGATTTTCTGTCGCTCCTTCCTAGCATCGTGATCTACGGCTTCATAGCGCATGCGCATTTGCCCTGCTATAGAAAAAATCGGGTGTTCCGGGGGGAAAGATCCTTTACACAACATGAGAAGCGAATGTTCTGAAATTACAAAAATTTACAATAACGATAACGATTCCTCGAAATTTTTGTGAACTTGGCAAAAGGACAAAAGAATATTTAAAAAAAATAAATAAAATTGCTTAAATAACCTTCAAAGCACTGACTAAGTACAATAAATCACTGCGAACATAAATCGTATACACCCCCCCGGAAAGTTTACTCTATGACTGACTGACTGACTGTTTGACTGACTGACTGACTGACTGACTGACTGATTCGTGTGAATTCGCCAGCCATCACAACAGTGTGAAGTGAAACTTCACACTAAAAATGTAGACTTGAGTTGTATTGTCGCAAACAACTTGCACGAAGCAAGAATCTTTATAACATGCGAAACGAGCGGCTAGAATCATATTTGGAACGTCAGAGGAACAAGCATTAAATAGAATGCCTTCGGTAGAAACCATTCAAAAGAAGAAATCCTGCATATTGACTTTTAGATGCTTAAACAATGTGTGTCAAAACTTCTTAAATTATTTCACTTTGATTGATTCTAAAGTAGCTACTAGAAATCTGGGTTGTAGAATAAAACTCCCGAAAGTGAAACTGCAAAGAAAGGTTTCTACTTCAACGGAGGAAAACTTTATAATGAATTACCTCTAGAAATTCGTAAATCCGACACTTTGCGACTTTTTACGAATGGACTGAGTAAGCACTTAGCAATTTAGTTCCTACGAATTTTGACTTTTCTATTCTAATTAATTTTTTAATTGGAAAATTAATGTTAGTATACATAATTATAAAGATGGACTTTTAGCTTTTTAGATTATTAGTAAACAGGACCTCTGTTAATAACAGTTTGTGATTTTTTCACATAACTGATGGAGTTTTTATCCTGTATATAAATTCGTTTAATAATAATAATAATAATAATAATAATGCAGTAACCAATTTTATAGTGCTTCGTAAAAATTCTCGTAAACTTAGGTTAACCTAAAATTCAAAGAAAACTTCCCAAAAGCTTGTTTTTCAGAAAACTTGTCTGGTACAACAGTTTTCTTTTCTGCAGTTTTAAAATAAATGGACGTGCAGAAATACACAAACCAAATCCGCATGCGTTAAATTTTAACCACTTCCTTGCGCAGCTAGCACTAATCATAAGCTTTAAACAAGGAGCGACCTTGCGCAACGCCATTGCCAATATTTGTATTCAAGCATGATGATTTCATTATATACCTCATCTAGGGAAGAGTTCAAACTTGTGGATAATAATGGAATATTGTCCACATGGAAATCTCCGAGAATTCTTACAAAGCAGTCGAAATATTTATAATGTGGATGAGGAGGCTTTGATTCCTGATCCTGACCAAGCCATTGGACCAAAAACTTTGTTATATTTCGCTTGGCAAATTACAAAAGGAATGACGTTCTTGATTTCGCGAAAGGTAATTCCCATAACGAAGCCTCTTTCCAAATGATATCCTTTATCCTAACCGAATCGAACCCGCGACCTCTGCTTCAGCATGCAGACAACATTGACCTTGGTCTGAATAATGTTTGATACCATGCTCAGCCTCACCAGTTATTTGTTTTATATATCACTGATATCAAAATCACTGATATCACCCATATACACCTTACATTAATGGCATCACCTTATATAGTATGTATACATGAACTTGTGGTTAGAGCTCGACAACACTGTATAGCTCAGTTGGTTAGAGCGCTACAGCGTCAATCCCATGCAGGGCCGCAAAGTGCCTATACTTGCATATTTCGCAACTGCTCTTGGATATGTCTAATAAATGTATATTCATGCATATAATAAAACCTATCTACAGCTATTTATTTCATTCATTCTTAAAGGCCGTTTTCCACTTCAAGCGTACCGTACCGTACCGTAACGTATCAAAACAAATTTGAAATTTCAAAATTTAGTGAATGTTGATTGGTTAATACTTCCGTAGTACGCTAAAAAGTTGACTTGGGACGAACTTTTTATTTTGATACGCGAATCAACCGGAAGTACGTAAATTTGAAAACCCATCTTCAAGCTGCGCATGCTCACCGGTACGTTACGTTACGATACATGCGAAGTGGAAAACTGCCTTTATTCTCCTGCTCCTTTAATTCTCACAGGTAATTCACCGAGATCTGGCTGTACGAAACATTCTACTCGGAGAAGGTTATGTAGCAAAAGTTGGAGACTTTGGGTTGGCCAGAGATATTTATAAATATCAAAAATATTCGAAGAAGTCTTCAGTGAGTGCATTCTGAAAATATTATTAGGTTATTACCATGTATATTTTAAACATGTTTACTGGACAAGCCAAAAGATTTGTAGCTAAATTCACATAAAACTCTCATTTAAGGTGGCTCGATGTATTTATGCTCACAAAGTTCCTTATGCAAGAATCGGAAACACAACATTTTATGCTATATGAATAAACTCGCGTGACCATTCGTGTGCGTGCATGGGAATATCAATAAAAGAACATGCATCCACGCCATCTCGATCTTGTCATTGCATGTTGTAGGCTACATCGCGTGTTTATGTCAAGTGCTGACGTCAGTAAATAATTCAAATACAATGTATCGTTGGCAAATAATACTACCGCGGTCTACTCTAGTATCTCGGGATATCCTTGTGCTATTCGCCTATAAGGATAGGTCAGAAATCTCGCAATGTTAGCAAAACAACAATGGCGGCAATTTCCTTGGTGATTTTTTTCTATACAGTTAAACGAAAATGATCGTAATCAGAACTAATAAAAATGATATTATATATAGAGACACTTTTAATTCACCCACCCTATATATGCAAGCAAGTAAGCTAGTAAAACAGTATGTATAGAATTTTAGCCTGGTTCTTTTTCAGGGATTTGTTCCTATAAAATGGATGGCTATCGAGTCCATTGGAGATCTGATATTTACTGAGAAGTCAGACGTGTAAGTAAGATTGTTGTTCAGGACAGAATTAGTGCTGTTAGTGAATGATTTCCCGACCGAATAATGAACTTGCCCACGGCCAATAAAATACCAAAGTCAGCTGTGTTGTTATATGATCGATAGAAACAGGAGGGAACGCGGATTACAGTTTAGTAAACTACAAATGTAATATATCTCGCATCGTAGATTAATTTCAAATACAAACATGCAATGTAGTTTACAAATCTTCCCATATAAATATTAGACCTTTAACATTTGGAACTGCTTGACACGGTTTTTCCTACTAATAATACACTTTATCAATACAAAGCAAATCAATTATAAGGTCTGAAACCTGGTTTCTTCTTGGTATTTGAACCCATGCAGCTCTTCCCAGCTAATTAGTCAATACCTCTCCTCCCGCATTTATTCTTCCCGTGCGCTTTCTTTTCTGTGTGCGTTAGTCTTGTTTCCGCGCATTGTTTTTTTAAACGCTAAACGACAAGCGAGAAATAAACAAAGTGTGACTACATTTGGATGTATATGGTATGAATAACAGGCTTTCAAAGGTTGGGAAAATGACTATAAAATACACTGTATTAAGGGAAGTCCGTCCCCTAACAACCTTCCAGTTGTGGTGAGGATTAGATGCCCCCACCCCGGTTAGGGGTTAGTGTGTGGGTCGGGAACTCAAAACAAAAACTGAAAGTGCAGCTGTATGATGTGCATAAACATCATAGAAAATAAGAAACTTTGCTGAAATACTAGACTGGAGTGAATCCAATTTGTTGCGGTATTGCATTCATTCACTTAAATGAAACTGACATATGTCCAAATGTGAAAAACTTTCCCAGTGTCTCTCTAAGAAATTCTCATTTTACTTGCATTTAAGTTCATCTCCTTAATTGAAATCACTTAGGTGGTCATTTGGCGTTTTACTTTGGGAACTCTTTACATTGGGTGAGTTAAATATTTTCTTCTTCTCACTTATTTCGCCATTCGTCTGATCTAGATTTTTTTACGCCGCATGTTTTATCAACTGACTCCATGTATGAATTTATTTCGCTTTAAACAATTGCCATCCAAAATAGTGGAAATCAAATAATTACGTGAATTACGTATTGTGACATCACTTGCAAAGGCTGAATTCGATTGCTCCTAGGGTAGAAAATCTGTCACCAGGCCGCCATTGCAATGGCGTTAATAACATAAAATAACATAATACATATTTCTAGGCGAAACACCTTACCCAGGTATGCCGGCAATTGAATTATATGAATCATTGGTGAATGGGAAACGAATGGAACCGCCTATTAATTGCCCTCACGAAATGTAAGTATAATGCCAAATCTTTTTGTATAAAAAACATTGATTAGACAATAGCAGCATGAGCTCCACCTTTGAATTTACTATATGAGTAAATTCTTAATTAAACACGTCCGAATTTATCATTATGATAAATTCGCGGCAAATTTTGAATTTATCATAATAATAAATTCGCGGCACCTAACACTAACACTAACCCTAACCCCAACCATAACCCCTAACCCTAACTTTTTAGTTTTTTAAAGCTTTTTTAAAAATCTAACTTTTCAAACTTTTTTTGCTTTTTAAAACTCTTTTAAAACTTTTTTAAAAACTATTTTTTTAAAAAAACTTGAAGAACTCGCATATTTGAACATTGTAACCGTTTGAAACTATTTGTATATATACAATACACGGAGTTGTAAATAATTTTAATCGCTCTGAAGATGTCATGTTGTAAAAAATACAATGAAACGTTAGCTTAGTCAATAAATTATATACTTTTGTTATGTCTTGTTTGAAAGTCATTTGCTGGGTTTTTATTTTCATTTTTAAATTAAGGTCTATTACCTTCAATAAATTTTGTTTACAGTACCGATGTAATGTCAAAATGTTGGAAAGAAGATCCGGACGATCGCCCAAATTTTCACCGTTTGAAAGAAATGCTGTACGAAATGCTTTGCTGGGAAGCAATGAGTCAGGTATAATTGAATATTTAACTGAGTTTAGCCCATGCACTAAGATATTTATCATTTATAGACCTGGAGCGAGGGATATTCGGCGAAACATTACCCGAAGTGATAAAGCCCAGAGAAAAATATAATCACTGAGGTGATATATAAGTTTAAGCTTCACGTTTGATGGAAACGGCATACGGGAGTCGAATTTTCTTAGCAGAATTTTCGTCTTCTTCGGTTTATATTTTCTTTCTCATGTAAAAAAATAGGCACTCAAAGAGTGCGTAAGGATTTCCAATTTTGTTGTCAATTTTATAATGCAAGAAAAATTGAAAAATATCAGTTCATAATGCAAGAACGATGGAAAAATATCGCCCAAAATGTAGTATAACAAAACACAACATCATGCATTACTGTTATATTGAAAGTTAATCTACTACAACTTTTAAATGGCTTTATCACTGCCTCAAAGATAAAAGAATAACTGAATTTGTAGAAATGTTGAAGATTTTTTATAATTTAACGTTTGGATAAAAAACAACAAAATTATTTCGATGTTTTCGCATTCCGCAACAGGCAATACATTTCTAATTCATTTCCAATGAATACGAATGAAAAATGGAACAATACAGTTTTTATAGTGGAAACACCGCTTTTGATTTTATTTTATACGGCCGCTCCTGAGTTGAACGAATTTGTCTTTTAGGACCTTTTCCATTTGTATTTCTAGCACAAAACAGTCATATATTCATTCGTTTAGCTGAAAGTAAGTGGTACAATGTTTAGTCGTTGATGTATTCTACGAAAACGAGCGGGGTTTTTGCCCGAAAGATTGCGAATATCGACAAACACAAATGGCGGATAATAGCTTCCGGCGGTTCACGAATACTCGACTCAACGTCACTAATGTGTTACTATCTATCTATCTATCTTACACACCCGATTATGGAAAGCGATTTGGTGCAAAATTCAAGCATTAAAATTCTGTCGATTTCAACAAACACCGATCAACATCAACCACGTTTTTATCATACATTCAACAAACCGATTCAACGTCAACATTAATTCCGTTCCAAATTCAACTATTCAAAAAGCCTTCTGTATCAACACCGATTTTTGTTTCACAACCAACACGAGTTTCCTTCAAGATCAACCTTAAAATTTGTGCCAGATTCAAGCAAGCAAAATTTCAATCAACAAAACCCGAAACGCTGTCAACAAATCTCGAAACGTTGTCAACAAACCCAGTGTTTCCACTCCAAAAAATAATTTCCTTTTAATAACCTGAAATTTCCTTTTTTCAGCAAAATTTCCTTCCAAAATTTTTATCAAAATTGACAGATTTACCTGGTAATTAACATCAAAATTCTAGTATTAATTTATAGTAGATAACTCTGTATTTTGAAGGTTAAAATCAGGCATCTTTAT